CCCCAAAACCCCAAAACCCCAAAACCCCAAATAAGACTAATAACGTTGAACTGTTTTATTTATTAACTCAAATCCGTCTGCTTACTGACATTTGAAGACTACTCAGAAGTCTCTACTTGGGTTTGATGATTAAGAGTAGATTCTTTAGACTCTTTCAGGATATAAGAGACAGCATCACACTTCATTATGTCACAGAAGAGAAAGCTTCCATATTTAGATAAGTCATTTATCTGACTGATTTTATCCAAGTAAGCTTCAGAAAGTTTCCTGAAGCTATAAGTCTTTGGGAGGTGCTGCATTTCGTCACTATTCTCAACATCTTTATTTTTGCAATGGCCTGAGTAATGGTTTGATAGAGTTCTAAACACTCTGTACTTCTTTCCTCATACAGGGCATTCAAAGTATTTCTTCTCCTCCTTCTCAAACATATGATTCTGCATATGGCTGATGAGCTTGCTTCTATCTCAGAATCCTTTGTCGCATATTTTTCACTGGTACCTCGTAATATTGAGGTGGAATCCAACATGGTCTACTAAGTCAGGCCAAGACTTTTTGATTTTATCTCACAAAACACCATTTTCCTTGATGTTTCATTTATATCCAGTGACTATCCTCTTCGTTTCCTTACCAATAGAAACTTTCTGGATGATAAAATACTCAGGCTTGATCTCAATAGAATATCTATGGCACTTCAGCTCAAATTCTTTCTCAAGTGCTTTCTTCTTCCTCTTAATAAGATCTTTCCTGTTGTTCTCATCTTTTTCAGTCTCGTTCTGGATCTCCCCTGTTTCAAGTTGTTTTCAGCTCTTCTGACCAAAGCTTTTAGCCATATTGATCTAGATACAAATTAAAGAATGCAGAAGGAAGAGTTTGGCCTAAATGAGTAAAGGAAAAACTTAAAAATGACAAATGTAACTCGATAGATGCTTTAAATATGAGAGCTAATCTTACTAAGGAGAGAGTATTCTCATTCGTGAAAACTCCAGTGAGACACTCTTCTTTAATTAAATCTTTAGGCTTATTGGACTTCACATCATCTTGTAAATCTCCACCTTCTTTCTTAATCCCCACCTTGATTTCTTCTTTAGTCTCCTTCTTCACCACTCAGGGACCAATCTCCTCACCATTCTGCCACCTCTTCCCTCCTCTTAACTCCACTCCCCCAACCATCACCTCCTCTCTCCGAACTTTCTTCTTAAACTTCCTATTAACCCCCTTCTCCTGACTTCTCGGTCTCTTCTTCACCACCTTCTTCACCTTATTTAGCTCTCTTCTTAACTGTCTTCCTCTTCTCAGTCTCTTCAGTTCAGACCCCAGTACTGTTCTCAGTCTGTTCCAGCTTTTTCTTCGGGCAGGGTCCAATCTTGGCTGGTGGGGTACTGGTTTTTGCAGAATTTTTAGTGGCTGGGCTCTTTTGGGAGGGGAGAGGAGGGGTTTTAGGCTGGGAAAGGGGTTTTGGGGGATTTGAGAGCGGGGAAGTGGGAGGGGGGTGGTGGTGTAGGGGATGATTTTGGGGGGTTGAGGGAGGTTTTGGGGATGTAGTGGGTGTAGAGTCTTGGAATTTTATTTCCTCGCTTTCTTCCTGAGGAGGCTCATTTGTTATGTCCTGCTGTTCTGTTTCTTCGCCAAAGATATCATCGGAATCGGAGTCTTTCTGAGTATTATCTTCAAAAATTTCTTCGCTGCTACTTTCTTGGGCTGGTACTGGAGGAGAATTATTAACTTCAGAAGATTCAGGAGTAGCTTCCTTGTGGCTTTCTGTCTGACTTTGAGTGCCATTAAAGATGCTGGCTTCTTTGTCTTCTCCTCCAGGCCAATATCCTGCATATTTATCGTCCATTTTCAATATTTTTAAGTAAGAATGGGGTTTTGGGGTTTTGGGGTTTTGGGGTTTTGGGG